TTGTCTTCCACTGCCTCCTGCAGTTTGGTCAAACTCATGCTGGTAGCTTCAAGAACACTGTCCCACCATCTCATCCTCTGTCGTCCCCTTCTCCTTGTGCCCTCCATCTTTCCCAACATCAGGGTCTTTTCCAGGGAGTCTTCTCTTCTCATGAGGTGGCCAAAGTCTTGGAGCCTCAGCTTCAGGATCTGTCCTTCCAGTGAGCACTCAGGGCTGATTTCCTTCAGAATGGAGAGGTTGGATCTTCTTGCAGTCCATGGGACTCTCAAGAGTCTCCTCCTATTAGCTCCATAAATTACCATATAGCATATATTCAACACCAAAAAACAGCAACAATTTGTTGTTGACAAAGGATAACTGGACATATAAAGGGCCCCATTACCTTCAGGAGCTGAGGGCCTCATCAGACCTAAATTTGGCCCTGCTTCCAGATACCCATTGCTGGAAACTGGGGGTAGCAAGAAGGCCCTCGTGATTGAATCCTGCTTGCTGGTTTCCCACAGGTTTGCTACTGTGAGAAGGGGGTGCCGGATTAGGTGAGCCACTGGCCTGATCTAGCAGGCTCTTCTCATGTTAAGGAAGATCATCTCCTTATGCTCAGCACTTGGATTGATATTGTTTTTGAAATGCTTTTCCAGAGGAGCATTAGGTGCAGCCCAGCCCTGAGGGGATGATGATTGTTCCACTAGGAAGGCAGAAGTTCCTCTGTCTGCTTCATGTGAGGCCCATTTGCCAAGTCTGCGTCTCCTCCTCCTTGTTCCTCATTGCTGCAGGGTGACTGGGGCACCTGCAGACGCTCAGGTGCTGCTCCCGTCAGACTCTTCCCTTGGACCAGGCCCTGATGATGACGAGCGCTTGGATGCTTTCTGCAGAATGAGGCATCTAATGCATCTCAATTACACCTGAGACATCCCTGGGACAGGATGTTTGTCTGCAGAGCAAATGACACACTTAGTGTGTGAACCACGGCTGCAGAGCTCAGAAACAGGGCTGGAGAGGAGGGAGGATCTTGTTTAGATCCTCCTCTTTTTCCTGCTGCACCAGAAACGAATTTAGGGCACACCTGTCCCTTGGCTTGTTGTGGGTTGTGATCCCTTCTAGCACCTCCTTTATCTGTGCGATGTTCTTCTTCAGCTGCTTCGCTTCCCTCAATCCAAAGATTCCCTATACTTTGAAAAACCAAAGAGGAGAGCTGCGTCAATTGCACGGTGGATCCCTGGATTTCATAGAATCACAAAAACCTTCTGTCAGGGCTGCCTCAGGTCCCAGCTCACAAGAGACCAACACCAAGTCCAGTTTATATACAAAGATGTTTATTGCAGTTCATTGTTAACTCCACAGCCGAGGCGCGCAGCCCCACGTCTGTTACGCTTAGACCGCTGAAGTCCCCTCTGAATCAGTCCCTCCCCTGCACCAGTTTAAGAGGCTTGAGCTGCTCCACCTCTTCCTTTCCTTCCTTTTCCGCAGGGTCTTCCTGCCCCCTGGGGTTTCGCCCCTCCTGGATTCCCCTGACGCGGAATCCCCAGACAGCTCTTGCCCCCTCCTGCGTGCTTTGGGACCTGGCTCCTCCTCCGGACTCCCTGTTCTTCCGCGCGCCTCCACATTTGAACTTGGCGCGCGTTCGCAACCTCTAACCTTCCTCTTGACAGTTACACTACTCCCTGCACTACTCCCCTCCCTTTCCGGGAGGATGTCTTGCTCCGCTCTTCCCTCCCTTCTCTGCTGTCGGAGCTGCTTCCCCTGTCACACTGGAATCTCCACCCCCTTCACTGCGCTCTGGCGGAGAAGCCGGTCCCGACTCCCAGCTCCCACTCTGGGTTCCCCTGCTGGCCCCCTGCTCCTGACGAGTCCCCCCTGTGACTCCCCTTGGCCTGACCACAGGCGCCCCCTTCTGGGAATCCTCCGATTCACTTGAAAGACTCATGGAATCCCTCGAGTCATTGTCATCCTCTTCCTCACTGTCCTGGGATTCTTCCCCATCGCTCTCCGTCTCCTCCCTCACCTGTGCCTCTGTCCCTGAACCCCTGACACCTTCCAATATCTGAAGGGCTGTTACACAGAAGATGGAGCAAGCTTGTTTCCAGATGCTCCAGAGGTGAGGACCCAGACCAAGAAAGCACCGTATTTTTCGCTCTATAAGACACACCAGACCACAAGACGCACCTAGTTTTTGGAGGAGGAAAACAAGAAAAAATAATATTCTGAATCTCAGAAGCCAGAACAGCAAGAGGGATCGCTGCGCAGTGAAAGCAGCAATCCCTCTTGTGTTCTGGCTTCTGGGAGAGCTGCGCAGCCTGCATTCACGCCATCAGACGCACATACATTTACCCTTACTTTTTAGGAGGGAAAAAGTGAGTCTTATGGAGCAAAAAATACGGTAAATGACCTCTCCTCTTATTCCTCGACTGCTAAGCTTACTCAGAAGTCTTGGGTGAGGTAGTTTTTCAAAAAAAGAAAGGAAGAAAAGAAAAGAAAATGAACCTCTAGGTGTTCACTGTCAACCAGATCACCACTATCTATCTGCTTGTTGATACTCTCAGAGAACTCCAATATGTTCGTAAGACATGATTTGTCTTTGCAGAAGCCATGCTGGCTCTGCTTCAGCAAGGCTTGTCCTTCTGTACGCTTGGTTATCTTGTCTTTAAGAACACTTTCCACTTTCAAGAACAGTTGTTCAGCTTGCCAGCCTATAATTCCCAGAATGCCCTCTGGATCCCATTTTTAAAAAATTGTTGTTGCACTGGCTACTTTCTTGTCCTTTTTGTTCTGCTATTCCTGTGCTAGTGGCGGCGATTGTGGCCCAGTTAGGAGGCCATGATGAGCAGCAGCCCTCATGGACGAAACATCTGGAAAGTATGAAAAGATGTTGCTAAACTTCCCCTCTGGGTCTGCATGCCTGTGTGACCTACATACTTCAGGTTCTTTCCTGCTTGCACTCACAAGAGGGGACAATTTGCTATGACAGAACAAGGAAGGGGGAGATCAGATATGCTTGTCCAGGTCACCAGATCACTGCAAGCTCTGCTGGAGCCAAAGGTCTTGTTTTTGGAGCAGATCCCCAGCAGAAACCCCCTCCAAGGCTGCATCACATCTCTTTTTGCTTCCCACTAGCCCCTGCTTTTCAAATCCTGAGCTGCTCTCTCTGTCCATTTCCCTTTGCAGCCAGGCCCCCACAACCCGTTTTGCCATCCATGCCCTGTGCATGTTCCTGCCCCACCCCTTTCTGGAATATGGACCTATAGTCTGTAACTGTGGCTCATAGGAATAATAGAATACTGAATCATAGAATTGTAGAGTTGGAAGGGACCCTGAGGATCATCTAGTCCAACCCCCTTCAATGCAGGAATTTCAGCTCAAGCATCCCTGACAGATGCCTTGTTGGAAATGTAGAGTGAAAGTAGAGTGGGGGGGGGAAGGGATATGATTTACAACGAAATGAAAAAATTGTGCAAATACACTTTCCCAAAAAACCCAGAAGCCTTTTTGCTGGGGTTGATAGGAAATGAAATAAGGAAAGCAGACCAGAGATTATTCATGTATGCTATGACTGCTGCCAGAATCCTAGTAGCCCAAAAATGGAAAACCCAGGAAATACCAACATTAGTGGAGTGGCAGACAAAAATGGTTGAATATGTGGAATTAGTAAAACTGACCCTCAGGATCAGCAACCAAGAAGAAACAAAGTTCAGAAATGAGTGGCGTAAATTTGTGGAGTGTATACGTAATAGCTGCAGAAGTTTAAAAACTGTAGTAGGACTAAAATAAATCTTATGATGTGATTAGGATGTTATTAAGAATCTGTGATAAATGAAAGATTAATATGAAAACCTGTTGAAGGAAGGGAGGGAAGTCCGTGTTCGATAGAGCATGAGAAAATAAGTGTACATAAGATTGTAGAACGTAAGGGTATTTATTTTGTTTTGTCGGTGTTAAAGAAAATTCAATAAAAAGCATTTTTTTAAAAAAAAAAAGCATCCATGACAGATGCCCATCCAACCTCTGCTTAAAAACCTCCAAGGAAGGGGAGTCCGCCACCTCCTGAGGGAGACCGTTCCACGGTTGAACATCTCCTAATGCCAGAAAGTTATTTCTGATGTTTAATCAGAATCTCCTTTCTTGTAACTTGAAGCCATGGGTTCAAGTCCTACCCTCCTGAGTAGGAAAAGGCCCCCCACTTTCACAGCAGGTAAGACTGGGGAGGGAAGACTCTGGTTTCCTTCTCGATGGTGGCCGTTGGGAGCCTGAAATGCCTCTCACTGGGGGAAGTGCTATCTTCACTTCTGGGCACTACAGGGTTTGGGTTTTTTGCTGTGAACACCCTGATATCTTTAGGTGAAGGGCAGTATGCAAATTTAATCAACAATAAAGAATCATTAGGGCCCTGTGGGACTTGACATCTTTCCGCAGGGCCTGCAAGACGGAGCTGTTCTGCCTGGCCTTTGGTTTGGACTCAGTCTGACCCTTCTGTTTCCCTCCCCTTATGGTTTTAATCTATGGGCTACTATTAAAATGAGGCTGCATTTTAAATTGCATTTTAACCTGTATTTTAAATTGGTTTTTCTTCGTCTTTCCCCTATTATGTTTTTACTGTAATTTTACTGGTGTTAGCTGCCCTGAGCACGGCTCTGGCCGGGGAGGGTGGGGTATAAATAAAAATTATTATTTTATTATTATTATTATTATTATTATTATTATTATTATTATTATTATTAAAAGAAGGATGTGGAGAAGTTGGAAGGTGTGTAGAGGAGGGCGACCAAGAGGACCTTGAAACCAAGCCTTGTGAGGAACAATGGATGGAGTTGGTATGTTTAGCCTGGAGAAGAGGACACTTAGAGGTGACATGATGATAGCCATCTTCAAATATCTGATGGAGCAAGCTTGTTTTCTGCTGCACAGGAGAAACCTGAACAGCAGAGTCAAAAGACAACAAAGGAGAGTGGAGGTTTTTCAACAGAGGTTGCATGACCACCTGTCAGGCCTTCTTTTGCTGCAATTCCTGGGATTCTGTGAAGAGGGATCCCAGCATGTCCAACACTCCAGGAGTTCCTGAGGCTCAGGTTCCTCCTGCCTGACTACTTACCTGTGTGTCCAGGCATCCCAGCCTGGCTCACCGTAGAGGGGAAGCAAGCTGACTTGCACTTTCTGCTCACAGCTCCTCCCTGGCTGGCCCGGGTGCCCTTGCGCAAGAGAAAGGGGTTGGCAGACGGTTAGACGGTTAGTCTTTCCCACCGCCCCTCCCTTGCTTGGGACGGAGACATCTCCCGGATGACTTGACTCAGCGCTGGGCACTCTCACTTCGCGCCACGATGGCCTCAGGAGGTGGCGTTGCCCTTCTTCTGGGGCTGCTGGTTCTCTCAGCTGACCTGCCACGTATCGTGTCGCAAGGTAAGTCCTGTGAGCTGCCAGGTGGGCGGTTGGGAAGAGAGGTCCCTCTGGCCTCCCGGTCCAAGACCACCAAACCCAGCTCCCTCCCATCTCTGTTTGGCTTGCTACCTGACCATTCCTTGTCCTCCCAGTGGGGCATGAATTCGAAATGCTAGGCTTCCCCAATGCCCTCCAACTAGGGCTTCACTGGCTGGTTTATTTAGGCCTACCGGGGTGGCTTTTTAAGACAGACTCACAACTCTTGCTTTCCTTCACACACACATGGAACTAAACTATCCATCCACCACTCAAAATACAGTCATTTCTTCTTCTTCTTCTTCTTCTTCTTCTTCTTCTTCTTCTTCTTCTTCTTCTTCTTCTTCTAAAAATATGAGAACATTTAGCCACTAGAAATCACTATATCATTTAAAGATTTGTCTGATTTTCAAAAAGAGAGGAAGATACATTTGAAGGCTAGTTCCTTTTTTCTTTTTCTCTTTTTTTAATGAAACGGTAATTTATTTGAACAGTTTGCAGAGGACACACATACATATATATCTCACACTATACATATGCAAACTGTCTCATCTAACTTTGCCTTGTGTTGAACACAGCAAAGCACTATGATTAAGAAAAAGCAAGTGGTTTGAAAAAAATAAATAGATGGTTTCAACAGAAATTATAATATCTGGTCAAAAACAATTCTGCTGTTCTGTTTTTTATTTTATTTTGTTTTGTTTTGTTTTTATTAAAGATTTCTTGGTTTACAAAAGTATGTGCAATGCCTCCTTTTTTCAAGTTACATTTTCTACAGACCAGTCTCATTTGTTAGACATTAGTGTTACATTAGGAAGGAGGGGGGGTGAGTGGTGGTGAGGTCTGGTGGCAATGTTTCTTTCACCTTTTGATGGCTAGTTTCTGTGGGGCAGGTGGCTGGCAGGGAGCATCTCCTGACTTCATGCCCTCCTTGGGAGCTTCCTGGCAGCTGATCGCCTTTGGAAGCAGGAGGCTGGGCTAAGTGGAACCACCTGGATCTCAAACTGCAAGGTTGCTCTTGCGAGACCCTCTCCGATCCTTTCTTGGAGCTCCCCACCAACTGCATGGATCATCAGGAAACCCCTGAGGCTTTGCCAACCAAAGATAAGCTATGAACCCCAGGGCAGCTGCACCAGAGAGTGTTCCCCCCAATCACCCAGGATCCTTTGCATCAAAGGTTCAGAGAAGGGCAACCAAAATGATCGAGGGGATGGAGAGATTCTTTATGGGGAAAGAATACAGCATTTAGGACTTTTTCGATTAGAGAAAAGGCCAAGAGGCAGCATGGTGCAAATTTATAAAATTATGCACGGCATGGAGAACGAGGCATCATAGAAGAGTTGGAAGGGACCCTGGAAGTAATCTAGTCAAACCTTCTGAAATTCAGGAATTTCAATTAAAGCATCTGGGACAGATGGCCATCCAGCCTCTGCTTAAAAACCTACAACTTGTGGACAGTTGGAAGATTGAGAACAGATAAAAGAAAGCCCGTCTTCCACAGTTAAACTATGGAACTCCCTGCCACAGGAGGCAGGCATGGCCACTAACCTAGATGGCTGCTGAAACAAAATAAAAAAATTCCTTCCAGTAGCATCTTAGAGACCAACGACCGTATTTTTCGCTCCATAAGACGCACCTAGTTTTTAGAGGAGGAAAACACACACACAAAAAAATATTCTGAATGAAACAGTGGATGTATGATTTTTGTGGTTCATGCTGTGGCCACAGACATGATATGTGATTTGATGGTGAATTTGGGGTGACCCAATGCAAAAATCCTGAGGATCCATGTGGATCCGTGCTTTGTAACCACGTTTTTGTGCCATTGTGGCCCCAGGCAACAGTGGATGCGTGATTTTTTTGGTGCAAGCTATAGCCATGGACATGCTATGTGATCTGATGGTGAATTTGGGGTGACCCAGTGCAAAAATCCTGAGGATCCATGGCCTTTTACCTCCCCCCTCCCAGACAGCCTCCTTTATTGCTAGTGTCCCTTATCTCCCTCCCATCACTTGCCAATCATCTGCTCAGCGGCTTCGTTTCAACACCCTCTTCTCTCTTTCTAAAAAAAAGCGCACGATCTGCTTTTTGCCCCTAGGCAATTCAGCTCCAGGGACCACGCATTCGCTCCATAAGACGCACAGACATTTCCCCTTACTTTTTAGGAGGGAAAAAGTGCTTCTTATGGAGCGAAAAATACGCTAAGTTAGTTATTGGTATGAGTTTTTGTGTGCATGCACGCTTCTTCAGATGGCTGTGTTCTGTCTCCAGGGCCGGAGGCAGCAACATTTCTGAACGCCAGTTGCTGGAAACCACAGGAGGGGAGAGGGTTGTTTTGCTGGAATTCTGCTTGTGAGCTTCCCTTTGGGGCAGCTGGTCGGCTATGCCTTCCTTTCAATGTCTTCCTTCTCCCCCAGTGGCTAAACTGGTCCCCACTTGTCTTTCTTTCCTTCCAGACCGACCTGGCTATTGCCTGGAACTCCCTGTCCAGTCTACTGACTCCTCTGGTGGGGGCTCCTGCAACCAGTGCAGTTCGGATGCCAACTGCCCACCAGGCAAGAAGTGCTGTGGTTCGCCCTGTGGCAACACCTGCCAGGCACCTGAGCCGAGTAAGAACACCCTCCCTTCCGGGTTCTGTGCTTCTTTCCCTTTTGGCCTGTTTCCTATGCACATCTTTTTTTTCTTTTGGAAAATCAGGGATGGTTATTGCCATCTTGCGCCCTGTCATTATCTCCTAGGAACGCTCACGTCTCCAGACTCCCTCCAGGTAAGACTCTGGCCTGCAACTGGAAAAGCCAGATTGCGTAACGCCAAACAGTGAAAATGTCCCGAAGACCTGCAAATGGGAGTCAAAATTGTCAGCATTTGATTAATTGCTCTCTGCTTTCAGGAATGAGCTTGCATGTGTCTGTCCGCTTTGGAGCTTTGAAACACATTTTAAGCTGTTTTGAATTTTCTGTTTTTAATTGCTGTAAGCTACCCTGGGACCTTAGGGGGGAGTGGCACCCCAGGCTTGTGCTGCGGGTGGGCAGCTGCGCAGAACGAGACTCTGTGTGGCACGCAGTGTTGCTGTTTGTGTGCCACAAATATCTCCCCCCCCCAGCACTTCTCTTCCTCCTCTTCTTCCTCCTCCAGATCTTTGCAGACTTCCTCCTGTCACAGGTCCCTGCAAGGCTTTAATACGGCAACTGTATTACAACTGGGGGAAGAAGAGGTGTGAGGAATTCATCTATGGGGGCTGCCAGGGCAACCTGAACCGGTTTGACACCCTGGAGATGTGTCAGAAAGCCTGTGGGGGTCAAGGTAAGCACAGCTCCAGCTCTGGGCTTTGCGGGGGCCCTAGGGGAGAAAGTCCCCTTGAGAAGGGGTCGCAATCAAAAAAAATGGGAGAATGACATAGGCTATGAGATTAACCCCACTCAATGGACCAGAATGTGGTCTAAACCCCCTTTAAATCCATATCAATGAAAAGAAAAGAACTCACCTTGAAACTCACTCACAGATGGTACCTAACACCTAGGAAACTAGCGCTAATACACCCAGGAACCTCACCAAAATGCTGGAGAGGGTGCACCTCCACAGGCACATACCTCCACATGTGGTGGGAGTGTCCCAAAATCCAACTATTCTGGACGACAGCCATACAAGAAATATGTAAAATAACTAAGCAAGTAATAGACACCACCCCAGAATTGGCCCTACTAAACATCTTCCAAGACAACAATGCCCATTTACACCACAAAGAACTCATAACCCACCTGCTCTCAGCAGCCAGAAACACCATAACCAGACACTGGAGAGACCTGTCAGGAGTAAGCATGGACCAATGGTACCAAATAGTATGGGAAACAGCCCTACTAGAGAAATTAACTAATAAACTGAAACTGACACGGGGACAAACAGAAGAAGACACCTTCACCCCGGTATGGCTCCCCTTTATCACACACACAGCCCAACAGGACAATGACAATAATCCACCAACAGCATACAAATCAATATGGCTAACCTGATCCAAAACACCCACCCACCTCACTCACACACGAAAACAAAGATCACCACAGCCAATCACAAGCAAACAATCACACCCTAGGCCAACCCCAACCTCTCTCACCACCAAAGGAACACAAGTGAACAACACAAACAACGCTGACACCAAACTCTACACACATTAAACATAATAGAAACACCGTCACCCGACCCCACCCCCATCCATCCTCCCTCTCTCCACCCCCCTTTTCTTCTCTCTTTCTTTTTTCTTCTCCCCCTAATGCCTCAACAAATGAAATGGATTTGTAAAAATGTTACATAAAAAAACAACAAAAAACGAGGCACTACACTTCTGTAAAACAAGAAAATCCTTAATAAAATATTTTTTAAAGAAAAAGAAAAAGAAGGGGTCCAGAAAAGAGGCCAAGACTGGATCCCCAAGTATAGAATCCTAGACTAGTAGAGCGGGAAGGGACCCTGGAGAATCATTTGGTCCACCAGCAATGCAGGAATCACAACCGAAGCATCCTTGACGGATGGCCATCCTGTTGCAGGGCAAATCTGCTGTCTCACTAGTACTATTAACTACTTGTGAGTCGGGTTGAAGAAAGAGTCCAAAATTTATTTACTGCAGTAAATAGGTTCAGCGTGGTCACTTCCACAAAGGCTGAACATGTGTGTGTGTGTGTGTGTGTGTGTGTGTGTGTGTGTGTGTACCTTTTATAGGGTTTACAGACAAAGAAATCCAACCAGAGCGCTGCAGACATTTGCAGAGGGTAGTTGGCAGAACACTCACTGGATACAACTTTCTAGATGTCCAGCCTGCAACTTGACGTGTGTCCAGCCCTTCTAGGGCCCCTCGCTTCTAAAGTTTTGAAGCCTACATAGATACAAGCCTAAAGGTAAAGGGACCCCTGACCATTAGGTCCAGTCGTGACCGACTCTGGGGTTGCGGCGCTCATCTCGCTTTATTGGCCGAGGGAGCCGGCATACAGGTCATGTGGCCAGCAGGACTAAGCCGCTTCTGGCGAACCAGAGCAGCGCAAGGAAACGCCGTTTACCTTCCTGATGGAGCGGTACCTATTGATCTACTTGCACTTTGACGTGCTTTCGAACTGCTAGGTTGGCAGGAGCAGGGACTGAGCAATGGGAGCTCACCCCTTCGCAGGGATTCGAACCGCCGACCTTCTGATCAGCAAGTGCTAGACTCTGTAGTTTAGAACAAAGCCTACATACCAAAGAAAGGAGAATTGTAGTCTCAAGGAGCTGCCTCTCCTGATCTGCTTGTCTTCCTGTTCCAGGTGCGCCCTAGAGCAATGGAGGGAGCAGGTGAGGGTCTGCCCTGTGGGGAAGAAGATGGAGCAGCACCCACGGAGCCCTCCTGCTGGGCTCCTTCCTCCCTCCTTCCTGAACCCCATTCTCCCACCCCTCTGTGGCCCCTGGGAGCCTGCCCTGGGGTGCTGACGGGCTCCTGGAACATGCTGGGTAATACAAAACAATAAATTTATGCAATTGACTGACTGGCTCACTTTTTCTTCCCTCCCATGGTATTCTGTTCTTCTCCCAAACCCTGGACCCTTCTTGGCCATCAGCTGTGTGAAGTAAGGATGCGATCCCAAATACCTTTACTAGGGAGTGGCTCCCATTGTACTCAGTGGGGCTTACTTTGGAGTAAACATGCTCAGCCCTGCCTTCTTGCCTGCCTCCTGTGCTGATGGGTGTGAGCTGTGGGGCTGGCTTTGGTGCCCAGCCTGGGATAGAAAGATGGGAGGCACAGTTTGTTGGTCTGGGCAGGGGGGCGGGAAAGCAAATGCAACTCTCCCAACCTCCCCAAAATTTCTTATTATTTTGTAAAATGTATACACTGCTTGATTGTTAACAAACTTCAAAGCGGTTTTTTGGGGGAAGGTAACAAAAATAAGAATGAACTAAAAAGAGATTTAAACTCACATTGAGTTTAAACTCACATCAGGATTAAAACTCACATCTGGGTGGGCTTGTCTAAACAAAAATGCTCTTAGCAGGCACTGAAAGGAAGAGCTTGAATGCAGGCAGGTGCCGCTATGCTAAAAGGTATTATGTGGCAGGTGTAACTGTGCCAGTTCTGCAGATGGAAGCGATTGAGTGGGCGCATCTCAGGTACAGCAACCTTGCAGATAAACTAGCCCTCAGGAGGAATTTGCTCCAGAGGCCACACGCACTCGGCCATGGCTCCACTCCTTCCTCTGGCTGGGATTTGTCTGATGGTGTCCCTTGCTTGCCCAGAGAGAGAGGTGGAGAGGGGGTGAACAGAGGAACTGTAGCATTCCCAAAACAAGGAAAGATTGGGCTCTGATTAACACAATACACATGAGACTTGACCAGCAAGACTCTGGGAGGGGTGCCAATAATAATTCCTCTCCACCCTCCGGCCCAGGTCGTTTTATTCACAAAAGAACTTTTTACACAGTGTTCGTAAGAACCAATCAGATTTCCTCTGAGCATTTCAAAAAATCCCTACGCGGGACAAAGTTAAAGATTAAAACTACAAGAGCTAATTTCCTACTTGAGCATGCATATGCAATTCAGAGTAAATAAAGGAGGAAGCCAGGAGGAATGCTTTTAGGAAACTCCGGGGGTCCTAAACAGCAGTAAACAGGAGAGGAAGGTTAGGTAGTATTTACCATCTCCTTGTGAACGATTAACAAGCTACGTCAAAGCTACCTTCTAGCTTTATGACCCAGGATGCCTGATGAACAACTGGCCTGTGTATTTAGAATGCTGATACGTGCCTGTCGGGTGTAGAGAAAGCAGAGATGCAGAGGCTTGTGGGATTCAATCAGAAATTATTGTCAGTGAATTAAACCCAGTCAACGCAATGCGTTCATCACGGATGCAATGGCTGGCTCCATATTTCATAATTCCTCATAGCAATCCCACCTGACCCCCACACTCTGGATATTTGCACCCCTACAAGGAACCACTTTTGCGTGGGCAGAAAGCGACCCCCAGTACAAAGATGCAGTGGCTCTGCTCACCTTTTCCCACTGACCTCGTCCGGCAATGGCATGTGTCTCCCGGGAATATCACCCAAGATTGCCTTGAGCGGAAATAAATTCCCTGTGGTGGGCCAAACCCAAACCCTGCAGGATCACTGTGAGCACTCTGTGATCCCCCCAGATTCCCAGACTGGGTGGCTATAGCGCCTCCTTCCCTGTAGACCCTCTGGGGAGCTGAGAGCAGCAAAGGGTGGTGGCCCCAGGAGAGAGGGCCTTCTCAGTGGTGGCACCTGAGCTGTGGCACTCCTTCCCCACAGAGGGGCGCCTGCTTCTGCCCCTGAGGTCTGTGTCTTTGGCTGCACCAAGCCCAAAACTCACCCCTGCTAGGTGCTCTGCCATGCACCCTGCAGCTTTTGGAAATTTCGGTGGTCATGTTATCCTGCCTACACAAAGGGAAAAAAAAGGTCTCTTTTGCATCAAGATGAGATATGTAGGAGTCTGGCAGGACATTTTGCCTTCATTTCTCTCTCCCGACACATCATGATCTTGTTTTGATCTTTGGAGAAAATAAAAATGTATGCAGGTTTCCAGCTATAGGCACCCACAAGCCAAACTGCTCTTCTGATAAAGGCTTTGACGCTGCAGGAGTCTTTAGGAGCTGGTCCAGGTCAGATCTCCAGCATGGCTGGGGAAAACCTTAATGTCAGCCACCTTCTGCCCTCCATATGTGCTGGACTGCAGCTCATAAGAGCACAAGAAGAGGTTGCAGGATCAGGCCAACAGCCCATCTAGCGCAGCATCCTGTTCTCTTATAAAGCCCAAATTGCATTCCAGTATATACCATTTTTAACTTGGTTTCAAACTGATTAATATTAAACCTCTTGCTTCATTTGTTTAGCCAGTTATGTTTCCTGTTAACAACACAACGAACAATCATTTCCCCATACCATTTCAACGGAGGTGTAATGGGTATGAGTTACTCATGCGTAAACTGGCGCCTCTCTAGGCTAAATTGCCTTGTTAAACCTTTCTGACTGCACAGCCCTTCTCATCGTGGCTGCCTCAGTCGCTAGCAGAATCCGTCAGTGGGCGTTTCTTAAACCTCTTCCAACATAAAAGCTGTTTGACACCAGGGACGCGGACTTATAAAAAATATTGGGGGGGCCCGGGAAAGCTCATGAATAATAAATAAGCTCATGAATATGCAAATAAAGTGACGCCGCCTCCTCGTGAGCGAATAGGGGAGAGCGTGCTGCGCCTATTAATCAGCTCCAAAGGAAATTGGGTGGAGCTTTTGCTCGGGATGGAGGGCAGGAGGCATGCAGCCCGCCCCTCCCTGTGCATTTTGGGCTGGGGGAGGGGCGGCGATGGCGCTCTGCTGGAGGGGCACCGGAGATTATTGGGGGGGCGGAGCCCCCCCAAACGAATTTTTGAGGGGGCTCGGGCCCCCTCAAGCCCCATGGAGTCGGCGCCTATGTTTGACACCCAGTCTCCTCCTCCTCTCACTGCGCGGGAGTCTTCTGCGCAGGGAGGGCGTGGGTAGCGGAGCCCTGGAGCCCTCTCTCCGATTCCCCCATCTGCCCCCCTTTATCCCTGGTGTTGCGCTGATTTGCTTCCCCCTCTACTGAGCTGCTTCTCCCCCTGCTGCTGGGTCCTTCGCCAGCATCATCTGGGAGCCTCCCCTTCGCCTCTCGCTCCAATGTCAGTTCCCTGACAGGAGGTATAAGACATACCAAATGTGGAGCGTTTGAATTAAATAGATTTGATTCCTCTTCTATGCAAACTTCCCTCCAGGGAAATTTTCCTGGAAGAGACGTTCCCTTGCACTCACGCTGATAAGAACACCATTTCACCTGGAATCAGGTACTAGTCAGGTTCCATTTATTTGGAGAGGAGAAACACAAAGCGAACCCCCTGCAGGAGATGCTGCCTGGTGCAGGATCCTGCCCCTCTTCTCAGCTGCTTCTCAGCTGACGCTCAGAGGAATCTTGTCTTCTCCAGCATCCTTGTTAGGCTGTGGGGAGAAGAGGAGGCAAGCGTCAGCCTCACGGGACTCATCCTGACTAAAGGCTTTCCTTCTCTCGGCCAGAGTCAGGAGAGGATTTGGTGGAGGAGATCCTTGGCGATAAATTTATTTATTAATTTTCATTTCATAAAAAAACCTCTTCAAAGCAGTTTAGGTTAGTAAGACAGAACAAAACTTTGCAGAAGCTATGCTGGTTTGTCTTCAGCAAGACTGATAATTTTAGTCTTCACCCAGAATGGACAATAAGGCAACAAGCCCAGCCAGGACTCTCCTCCAGGGACAGAGAGGGCACATACAGACCCACCAAGTGTCCCTATTTTCCAGGGACAGCCCTGGATTTACAGAAGCCATCCTAGTTTCTGATTTGATCCTGAAATGTCCCTCTTTTCCTTAAGAAATCCCTATTTTCACCAGAGGAATGTTGGAGGGTAGGGAGTTCTCCGACCCCAGAGTCAATTAGATAAGTAACTATGCAACCTTTAGAAGACATCAGAAGGCAGCCCTGTATAGGGATTTTACATTTTTTAATATACTGTATTGGCCTGAATATAAGCCTCACTCCCCACCCCAAATTCAGACTGTGAAAAGTTAAAGCGCGGCTTCAATTCACAACCTTACAAAATTTGGCTTTTATGATATCGCTGCTGAAACAGACATACGGTAAAACGGAACGGGTTTGAGTGCCTGCAGAATTTTAAGGGAGCAGCTTATATTTGGGTATTGTCTTTCTCTCCCCCCCCCCATGAATTTTAAAGGTGCGGCTTATATTTGGGTGCGGCTTATATTTGGGCCAATACGGTATGTTGGAAGCCACCTGGGGCAACTCTGTCAGGTGGGCGGGGTATTCTTCTTCTTCTTCTTCTTCTTCTTCTTCTTCTTCTTCTTCTTCTTCTTCTTCTTCTTCTTATTGAATAGGACATCCCTATTTTCACATTTATTGATTTTTTTAACATATCAGTTCCACCAGTCATACAACATAACTTCCCTTCTTATACCATGTTTTAGACTTCTGTCAACACCTCTGATGATTTTCCATGCTTTATCACTTATTCTGCATTTCTTAATTTCTCTATTACTCTTACTTATCATTAACTAATAGTTCATCTCATAGTCTTTCTTGCAATATTTCCAATAGTCCACCTTACAAAACTTCTTGCAAACCTACTAGCGCGAACTGTTCATCACAATTGCCTTCCAAATAGTTCATATATTTACTCCAGTCTTCTAAGAATCTCTGGATATATGCATATAGTTAGACTGTGGAACTCACTGCGACAGTGGTCTCTAATTCATGGAGGAGGAAGAGAACTCCGCCAGTGGCTTCTAGTCGCAATGGCCATATGCCTCCTCCAGGATCTCAGGCTGCAAGCCATAAAAGAGCTTGAGTGACCATGTTGGGAACAGGATGTTGGAACAGCATGAAAATCAGAAAAGCCCTGGAGCCTTCCCTCCAGCTTCCCTCAGATGAAAACAGGGACATTTCTCACTCCCCCACCAATGGACGCTTCTCGGC